GCACGCTTCCAGCCCCCACGACCATCACTGACCCCAGTCCCTGTCCTTATTGACCTCACTGAGTTTTATTGACTGACGCTGCTCGGTAGAAATACATCGTGAGCCACGTATGTAATTTAAACTTTTCCAGCAGCCACGATGAGAAAAGGTAAAAGAGAAACGAGTGAAATTACTTCTAGTAATATATTTTATTTAACCCAATATTTCCGTGTATTACCATTCTAACTCGCAAACAATAACAAAGTTATTAATGGAATATCTTACATTCCCTTTTATGTTACAAAGCCTTTGAAATCCGATATGCAGTTCGCACTTAACAGTACTTGTTGATTTGGATTAACCACATTTCACGTGCTCAGCAGATACCTGTGGCTGGTGGCTCCTGCCCTGGGCGGTGCAGGTATGACTGCGACGTGTCTGTCCCCCTGATTAGACTCTGGCCTGTTTGAGAGCAGGGGCTGTGTTTTGTTCATCTTCGTGACTCCACTTCCCCAGCTGGTATCAGGTACATAAATGGGAGGTGACAGTTTTATCCTCTTTTTACAGGTGGGCACACTGAGGCTCAGAGAGGTGAGGTGGATGGTCTGGGGTCCCACAGAAAAGCACATGATCGAGAGACTACTGGCACTTGGACCGGCCCTGAAAGAGCGGCCGAAGTGTCCTGAGACAGGTAGCTTCTCCATTAGATGGTCACGGAACAAGAGAAAAACCCTGGGATAAAATCTCCTCTTTTTATTCTAATATGAGCACCCTTCTGCTTGGTAATTTCCAAGCCCCAGTTTTAGAGACTAAACCGAAGTCCAGGTTGTCCTCAGGCTTTTGTTGAATCAGGTCAGTGTGTGTCATTCTCTCCAAACCTGGTCACCTGTGGGTGCCCCAGAGAGCTCCAGCCCCTTGAGAGTCAGGCTCCCATCCCAGGCCCGGGAACCTTGCCCAAGCTAAGGCCCTTGATTAAGTCCTGCCCGGGTCGAAAGAAACCGGGCTTTGTACTCAGGATGACTGGTTCTGAGTCCTGCTTCCCCCAGTTACTAGCCGAGTTACTTTCGTAGTGCACTTAACCCTTCTGAGACTGAGTTTGTCTTCAGTGATAATATCTATTTATTGGGTGACCATGTGGATGGAGCCAGGTCGTATGGATTATGTGCCTGAGACCCACTGGGGGTGCATGAAATGTTAGCTGTTTTTGTTTGACTGTTACGGCATCGCACTGTTTCCTGGACAGAATCCTCGGTGCCCACGACCCTGGATTTGTCCCTTTGTTTTTATGCCCAGGGTTCTTCCTCTCTCTAACTGTGAGCTTCCTAAGGCCTGGGCCCAGGCTTGTTCATCTGTAGGTTCCTTCAGTGCATGACCATTAAGTGCTTGCTGTCTGGTTAGGGGCAGACTGAAAGGAAATGTTTTCCTGTAAGTTTGTGCACAGTTGTACTTTGTCAGGCAGAGAATGCCTTCATGGACTTCTGTGGCAGGAGGTGGAAAAGGAAGATGGTGGAATGAAATTGAGGTGAAGGTTTGAAGGCTTGATCCGAGGCTGATCTTGGATCGCGTTCCCAGTGTGAGGAACCTGTTCCCAGTCCCCAGTATAAGCTGAGTAAGGGCCGGGAGCATGTCTGGCTTGATCCCGACTGTGTCTTCAGACCTAGAACCGCGTCTGGCACATAGGAGAGGATCAACAAATGTTTGTTGAATGAGTCGGTTTTGTTCACTCTCTAAAAAGATAAATACCATGTAAATACAGGCTCCATGTTTAGTAGTGAAATGCTCCTTTGTAATAGCTGTGAAAGAGCGCACACACAGTGTGTCCACTGGTAGACTTTCTGGAACACAATTTGGTGTCAAAGATGTGCCCATGTGTGTTTTTCAAAAACCACTGTATTGAAATACAGTTTGTATGCCATAAAGTTCACCCACTTAAAATACACCGTTCAGTGATTTTCAGTATATTTACGGAATTGTCCCATCATCACCCTGATCTCATTTCCGAATGGTTTCATCGTCTGAAAAAGAAACCCCGTGCCCGCCCATCAGCCGTCACTCCCCGTCTTAGCTTGGGCTGCTGTAACAAAAATGCCGTAGACTGGGCCATGTACGGACAACAGAATTTATTTCTCCAGTTTCTGAGACTGGAAGTCCTAGGGTCAGAGTGCCAGCATGGTTGAGTTCTGGTGAGAGCCCTCTTGCGGGTTGTAGACTGCTGACTTCTCACCGCCTCTCCACACGTGGCGGAGAGCAGAGAGAGGAAGAGGAACCCTTGTGAGGGCACAAATCCCATTCCTGGGGGCGCCACCCTCCTGCCTTCATCTAACCCCACCTCCTCACTCATTCATTGGTTGATGACATTTGGGTGGTTTCTGCTTTTTTGGCTGTTGTGAATATTGTTGCTACAGACGTTTGTGCACCGGTTTTTGTGTGGGCCTGTGTTGTTTCTCGTGGGCATATATCTGGGGATAGAATGGCTGGGTCATGTGTTAACTCCGCGTATGTTCGACATTTGGAGGAACTGTCCAACACTTTTCCAAAGGGGCTGCACCTTTTTATGCTCCCACCAGCAGTGTATGAAGGCTCTTATATCTTCACAGCCTTGTGGACACTTCTGGTCTGTCGTTTGATCGTGGCCATCCTTGGGGGCGTGACACGATATCTCACTGTGGTATCGGTTTACATTTCCCTAACGACTAATGATGCTGGACAGTTTTTCTTATGCTTTCTTTAGCCGCTTGTATACGGTTCACCCTTGAACAACATGGGGGTTGGGGGTGCGATGTCCCACCCAATGGCAAATCCACTTGTAACTTTTGACTCCCCCCAAAACTTAACTACTAATGGCCTATTGTTAACTGGAAGTCTTAGTCATAACTTATACAGTCAATTAACACATACTTTGTGTGTTATATGTATTATATATTGTATTCTTACAGTAAAGTAAGCTAGAGAAAACAAAATGTTATTAAAACCACAATGAAGAGAAAATACATTTACGGTACTGTTCGGTATTTATTGAAAACGACCCCGTATA